ACTGGGACTGAACTGCCTGCTATGGACACACTGTACACACAGCACTGTTGTAAAAGGGCAGAGAACATAATCAGGGACCCACGCCACCGAGACCACTCTCTGCTCAGACACAAAAACTGCACCTACAGCCACAGCCACAGCAGAGCGGGCAGTATAATCACACACAGAACAAGACTTTACAACAGCTTTTTCCCTGCCGCAGTAAGACTGATGGCAAATACAAAAATGTGAGAATATATGTGCAATAACCCCTCATTACCCTACTAAGGTAAAATATGTGTAATACCATGTGCAATATTTGAAACTCCCCATTTTACCTGCTACCTTATTCCTATACCCAAAACTATTTTGTATTTTTGGGTATTCTTGTTTTTTTGTATTTTGTATTCTTAGGTGATCTTATATTTAGACTAGGTGTTCGTTCTTTTCGCTTTAAACTCTTTACGTGACTCCAGGAGAGCCCTGCACAAGAATAGACTGTCTGTTTATGCATAATTGGCAAATAAAAATCTTGATTCTTGATGTTCTCTCACCCAGCCTGGTGGATGTGTATGCCCTTGCTGGTAGGGCTGGCTGGGGCCGACTGCGTGAGAGATCCAGAGTCCAGGATCCTCTGAGGCCGAGCATTCATTGTTGCCTGAGGAGAACAAAAGTTGGAATTTGGAATTAGTAGATGAGGAAATCAACTATTTCATAGACAAATACAAGGACAGATCAGAATTAAAAGGATTACTGCAAATCGAGACACTGTTCTGACTATAATAGATCACAAAACTGCAGCACTTTACAAAGTTTGTCTAAATTTCCAGAACTTTAACTCATTAAGAAGAGCAGGTAATATAACCCCTTCATTCTGAGCTGTCTAATGGCTGCTCACAAGGGAGGGGTTAACTTAATAAAGACAATAGAGGCAAAGCATCCCTGATGAATAGCAGAGTTGTTGTTTACTCAAGCCAGGTAGAGAGAATACTCTGTGCAGTGTAAATCTAGTTAACACGAGCTAATATATTTCACTACCTGGGATTGTCTTTGATTTGATTTCTATGCTAAATACAGAAACCACATTTTGTTTGCTAAAAGGCTGAAAGGGCTGAAGAAAAGTTTTTAATGCAAAATTCACACACACACACACACACACACACACACACACACACACACACACACACACACACACACACACACACGCACACACACACACTCGACTCCATTTGCGGTGGTGAAAGGACATCAGTTCCTAGGGTTAGCTGGTGTTGCTTCATTAAAAGGCAATTAGAAATGAAACAACAGAGCAGTAAAACCAGATGAGAGGGTTACCATGGAAATAGCACTGTCACTAATCTAAGTACCTTTTTTACTCAAACACATCAAGGTCAGTATGATGAGGGGGACATTAGAACCAAAAGCAGATAAACAACCAAAAGATAAGCTTAGTTCTGACAAACTGGGAGGTGAATGTATGAAGCTGATAAGTGTGTGTTAAGGCACTAACACACTTAGCATGACTAACACCATGCAGACCTGGGTGGAGCCAGGGGTGGGTATCATACCGGTACTGATACTCATACCTTGACTTCAATACTGGCTCCTAAACAATACTTTTTTTCCAATAACAATCTGAAAAAACTTAGAAAAAAATCAACTGGACTAGATTTCTAGGTCAAAGACCTAGAGTCTGTGCCCCAGTTTGGCCACCCTCTCTAAAATTTTCTAGATCTGCCTCTGCAGCAGAGAAACTAGCCATTTACTGTATAATAGCAAAACTAAGCTCAAAAACACACAGCATGAGGCAGCACGGCTGGTGAGTGGTCATCAAGCCTGTCCTGCACTAAAGGTTTTATTCCCTTAAAAGTCATAGTGGGACAGTCATAAAAAGTGTTTACCGCTGTATTTCCCTATAATAAAGCAGCAGAGATCTGAGAAAATGCTTTTTAAAAAGAAGCTGGTGTAAACATGAAGATGCAAGCTCACCATTTAAAATGACTTGATATATATGCAACACGTTCATGGATTATTCATCAAAATTTGCTGAACGTCAACATGTGGTAAACAAACACTAAGGCAGGAGGCCGCACGCCTTATCTGCTGACAAGCTTTCCAGAAATTGTGATGTGCTTAACTCCAGTTTTAGCAGGAAACTGGGGTAATCGGTTCTACCAGCTGCTCTGCTCCACACGGGGAAGCGCTCCTGTTTCAGCCCACATCCCCACACTCTCTCCATCATTAACTGACTGGAAAGTAAATCAAATGTACAAACAAATTAGTGTGTGCATGTACACAGATTACACTATTAGCACGAGCTCTGGGAGGCTACAGGCATGACAGCTAATGACAGCTTAGAAAAACCTCTGAGTGGTGCTCTTTAATTACTGACGAAGAAACTAAAATGGTGGGGAATTTGTCACTTTGATGTATGATGTTGGCATGGAAGTAGTAAAAGTAAGAGAGTCATAAAGCCCTCTCATGACTCATTAAAATGAATATGAGAGAACTGCCAAAAGTTCACTGATACAGTAATGGACTGATGTAGTGTTGTTCTTAATTATATCTCTTTAATGACCTCTCTTCGTTAGGTGTTTTACATTAGTTTGAAACTGTGCAAGAATCTTCTGTTTCCTGTAGAAGCCAAACTAGAACACAAATTAAAAAAGTGACCAGTGACTTTCACCCCTGGATTATGTAGCATGAGAGTTCTATTAGAAAAGCATTTAAAGCTTTCATCATCTGAGATGCAAGTAAATTTTAATTAGCTGCTGACCTTGTGTGCTTTGTTACAAATCAATAGTACTTGACATTTAAAATCCTAATTAAAAGGAGTCGCAGATACTCATGTTAACTCTTGTGAACTTGTGATGAATGTTCTCTGATCAAGCTCTCTCTAATGAGCTAGCTGCAAAAAATAATAATAATAAAAATGAAAAATAATGTGGGCTCTATCTATAACCCATTAATTTTAGAAAGTAATGTATTTAGATTGTCATTCCTTTCCAATGTCAATCTATTTTTTATCAATTTCTCCAAATATTAAGACAACAAAGGTTGAGCTTCTATCTTTTATCACTGCTTTCATGTCAGAATAGTTCCCTGACATGTACACAGTGGATGCACTACATGTAGCGTATTACTATTGATGTGGTGTATTGTGTACAGCTCTGTTGCACTCATTGTGAGATAGACTGTGATTATGTGTGTAACCAAAGCCAAAAAAAGTGTTTGACGTCATCCCAGTCAGATTATTTTAGTTCACTATCATAAAGCAGAGGTATTCAAGTCACTTCTCAAGTCAGTGGAGACAAATCAAGTCACGTCTGCGCTGTCACGTAATAAAGACTTCAAGTTGTCTCGAGTGAGACAAAAAAAAATTTAAGTATCAATTCAGCCAAGACAAGGTGAAGTCAAGATTCAAGTCAGCAGAGTCCAAGTCTCCAGTCCAAGTAAAAAGAAGAGTCAAGTAAGAAGAAGAGCAGAAGCAAAGTTTAATTACAAATCCGTTGATACAAATTCAAGTCAGATGTCACGTCAATGAAAAGAAGATCAAGTGAAGTGTCAAAGCACTTGAGACAAGCTGAGTTCAGCCTCAGGTCAGTCAGGACAATCCAAATCAAGTCACAAGTCTTCATCACTGGAAAATTGCTAATTTGTTGCAAATCTTTGAATTCTGACATTCTAACATTAAACATGCATCGTTTAAAGCTGTGTTAATTGTGCTTTCAACATAGCTGAGAGGAGGAGGTGGTCTGGGGTATGAGCAGTGCTCGACTGACTTGCATCTGTCTGTTTCAGAGAGCTGTCTCGTGATTATAGGGGGACTGAAAATCTGTTTGTGCGAATCCTGATAAATATGACACCACACTTTGCTCAGTTGACTGCAGGTTTGCAGGTACACAGAAACCAATATTACTACAGTACAGTGTGTTGCAGAGCCAGTGCACTGCATAAGTTGGAAGAAGAGAGGTCTACTGCATTATAGTGTAAATCTAAATCCATTCCTGTTGTTTTTTTTATTGCAGTTCACTAAGGAGTCTCACTGGAAAGATGCTGCTTGTCTGAAGGTAATTGAGCAGATAACTGGTGTTGGTGGTAAGAAACACAAGGAATTTTGCCTCAGGTTAGGATGGGTGGCAGACTATAATGGTTATTACAGCTCCTTAAGTTACGGCAGCCTCTTTGCTCTGCTCTGCTCTGCCAAGCCTAGGGGAGTCATTGGCCCTTAATTGCATTTGCACAAAAGTAATGGCCTTTTGGACGAAGAAAAAGGCAGTGGGAGGCTGGGGAGCGTGTGCTGGAAACAGATCTTTTACAGTGCATAACCGTGTGGTAAAAAATGACCGACATATGGGCACAGACACAAAAAGTCAATTATAATACCCACACTACACTACACTCTAGAAAATGTGCTGATACCCGTCCTCTAAATTGACTTATGAGGGCAGCAGTAAAAGAAAAAAACTTCAAATTTCAAATTCTTAACATTATAAGGACACAGTACAACAGCGTGATGACAGTTCTATTATAGTCTGTGCTTTGTGATGAAGACAGGCTATTTGGAGAAACAGTGGCTTTAAAATACTCAAACGCAACGTACTTTGTATGCGATGCTGTTGAGAACCTTCATGGCCAGATCCGACACTTCAGGAAATGGGTCTGCAGCAAGATGTAGCAACACTCTCCAGATCTGAGTGTAAACACTGTTGAAGGACACACCTGGAAAAGACACATACTGTAAACCAATTTGTTCAAAAGACTGACTGCATCTCCAAATAAAATGCTGTGTGCAGAATAAGTTTTAGACAAACAGAAACCACTAAGTCGTATCAGGACACACATATAAAGTAGAGGAGTACACACGAACAGTAACACACATCTCTCTTCATTGCCATCCCAGTTCACTGACACAGCAAAGCCAACAACTAGGTGGTAACACTCGGTCATCTAAGTAGCATCGCGCTACCTGGCCCAGTCATTTTTCTCTCCCGCAGTTGCAGGATGTGTGGAGGTGGCAGAGAGAAAATGCCCTCCACTGACATGTAATGCACATCATTAATCAATGCACACACATAAACACACACAATACAAACAGCTGGCTCTCCTCATCCTCTAGAGATCGTGATCGTCAACGGTCACTGTTATCATGAATATAAATGAGCAAAGTCCTCCTACTGTTCATCTGTCACTACTCTTGTCTTTGGGTGACAATTTTCCCCATTTCACTTGAGTTTGTGTATCATTCTTTGAACTTCTTATTTTAAAACGCCCTCTTCCCGCATGTTTGCTCATTTTTCTCTTCTATCTCTGTCCTGTCATGAGACTTCCATCCTGATGTCAGTTTGTTTAGGGCCTCGTCCTGCCATTCGTGCACCTCTTTGTGTTAGCAGCAACCTCCATTTTCTCCTACACATCCTCCCTAAAATTTGGGCTTTTACTTGCTTTAGCACACTGCGTCTGCAGTGCATTGAGACTGCATCGATGTTGCTCTGCCTGTTCCATTTCTTCTGCCTCCCTCTAAATGTCCACTCTTCAATCTGTTGTCACTCCTTTTCCTCAGTGTCACCCACAGGGACAGAGAGTGGCAACAGCCTCGCACTGTTGATGTTTCTCATTTTTATCCCACTCTTCTGTTTCTTCCTCTCTTTTTCAGATAATTCCAACCACACAGGTGACCCAGGTGGAGACAGAAGGATATGACAAAGACCAAGGAAGAATTAGGAACAGGTGAGAAGTAGAGAAGCCAGGAGGAGGAGGAGGAAAGAGAAAAGAAAAAGAAGACAAGTAAGACTTTTCAGTAAACAGTATAAGATGGGTCAAAAGGGGAAAAAAGAGAGGATGAAGGATAGAGTTGGCAAGAGCAAGAGGGAGAACAAGTGAGTGAGGGAGTTAAAGAGGTGATTACACTGTAGCCTGAGGGGCAGGACAGGATTAGCGGTAGCTAGCCTGCATGCTACTGTAGCTGCTGCTGTAAACAGCCAGTTGATAAATGTGGAATATAGTTCCTGTCCTATTTAACTGCCACGCTACATTACGGGTGCACACAAATTACCACTGCACTGCCTCTACACAGTCCACATGAGGGAACATGACAGCGAATATTACTCACTGGCGGAATGTGGCACTAGCGCCTTGTCCTGACTTGATGCATGTGTCATTTGAAGACTTGTGCAGAGTGAAATGGATGTACAGTAGTAAAGATGTTAACTATTGGCTAAATGAACCACTGAATCACTGTTTTATGGCTTTCTAAATTCTGGCAGATGACATAAAATATTTTTTAACACTGCCTAGCAAATTTTGGAGCTTTAAATGGTTGAGGCAGAAAAAATGCATCAAAATGTTTGAAAGCAGAGGGGTTCATCTACAGTACAGCACCATGGTGCCGTTTGTACTGTCTCTCCGCAATGAAGAAGGCTTGAGATCCACACCTGCCAGCTGAGCCCTCTCTGTGGAGCTCGCATGCCCTCAACATGCCTGCAGAGTTTCCTCCCACAGTCCAAAACATGCAGGTTAGGTTAACAAGTCGGGATGCAAGTATGATGGTTGTCTGCCTCTGTCTGTCAGCACCTGTCCAGGCTGGAGTCTGCTTCTTGCCCAGCGTCAGCGGGGATCTGCTTCAGCTGTCCAGCAACCCTCTACAGGATAAGTAGGTATAGCCAACAGATGGATACAGGGATATGTATGTTTTGAAAGCAGCATCAAATCATGTCTGTGATGCTCTTTAAATTAGAGTGACTCAAGTACACTGCAACAGGTATCCTTGAATATAAGCCTTTGATATGACAAAATATAAATGTCTGATGTAGATACAGAAAATGTCTCATTTAGTCACAGCGTCATTTTAAATGCCTTTGTCATGTGTACAGTGAAATATCTCAACTCTTGAATGGATTGCAATGGAGACACCTCAGGTGATGAATCCTACTGACTTTGACAATCCTCTAACTTTGATCTACCATCACACCGAGGTTGACATTTTTTGAAATGGTTTTGAGTTTAATATCTTGATAACTGTCGGATATATAAAAGTGTGTATAGTTGTTTAAGGTCCACAGAGGATGAGTGTTTGTAATGGGCTGGCCATGTGACGTCTAAGTCGGCAGATCCATCCCAATTATTGCACTGACACAGACTTGACCAGGCAAAAGAACTGACTGATGAACTAGCTAACATGGGGTGAGACTGACATGCTGCCAATAACAGGAAACAACAGAGTGAGCTCAATCTGCCCTACAGTAGTAGAGTGTAGTAACTATAGAAGCAGCAAAGTCCTGAATCCCCCATAGCTGTTGACCTGGGTTGAGATCTGGTGACTGTGAATGTCATAGCATACGACTCATTAAACCATTCAGTGACCTCTCCTGCCCTATGGATGGAGGCACTGTCATCCTGAAAGTGACCACTCATTTATTCAGAGTTGCCCTTTAATTAGTCACCGGCATGTACATCAGCTGGTAAAATATTTGGTACCCACAGGATGAATTGTGATAACTTCACTGATCTTTAATATTTTCCTCTTGTGCCATTTTCAGGTCAAATTTTCAATTACTTGGGTTGATAAACTGAAAGGGAGTTTTTCCTCTCCACTGTCGCCAAGTGCTTGCTCAAGGGGGATTTGTTGGGTTTTCCCTATGTAATAATAGTGATAACAGTAAGGTCTAGACCTTACTTTGTAAAGTGTCCTGAGATGACTGTTGTTGTGATTTGGCGCTATACAAATAAAATTTGATTTGATTTGATAAACATTAACCTACAGGACCAGTGAAATTCCTTTACACTTAGGTGTACATTGAGTGATAACTAGGAAATGTTAGCATACTAACTGAGAACACTGCATATTTCCATTTACATTGTGAACACATTCTCTTGGCAGCCTCTATTATACAAATCACTACAATTAACTATTTGACATTTACAGTACGTCTAGTTGCTAAAGAGCAAACAAACTTTCATCCATTTTACAGTGTGTTTTTCTTTACAACAACCATTACAGCCACATAAAGATACCGGTGTAGCTGTTGCAGTGCAGCAGAATTTGTAAAATTACACTAAGAGAAGAAAAACAAAGACAGAGAATAATTGTTTAAAATGCAAATCTAATCACTTCTGCATCTCTGCCCTGACCCCCACACAGTTTTGTTATCTGCAGACCAGTATCCAGCAGCTGCTGCATTTAGCATTTATGGTTTCAATTTGTTCTAAACTACTACAGTCTTAAAACAAAACAACTGAGTATGTATGCTGCTGTATATTGATCAGCCAAAACATTAAAACCACTGGCGGGTGAAAAGGATAACAGTGATCATCTCATTACAACGATGCCGGTCAAGGGCTGGGATGTATTAGGCAGCAAGTGACAGTCAGTTCTTGAAATTGATGCGCTGGGAGCAGGAAAAATGGGCAAGCGTAAAGATCTGAGCGACTTTGACAGGGGCAGTGTGAGGCTTTGGGTAGTGTTCTGCTGGGAGACCTTTGGGTCACGCCATTTGTGTTACTTTGACACATACCACCTACCTAAACACTGTTGCAGACCAAGTACACCCCTTTATGGCAGTGGCCTCTGTTATCAAGATAATGCAAAGGTTGTTCAGGAATGGTCTGAGGAACATGAGTGAGTTCAAGGTGTTAACCTGGCCTCCAAATTCCACAGATTGAGCATCGGTGGGATGTGTGGGTCAAACAAGCCCAATCCATGGGGGCCTCACCTCGCAGCTTAATGGATCTTCTGCTGATGTCTTGTCGGACAACAGAGGACACCTCCACAAGTCTTGTGGAGTCTATGGCTCAATGGGTCAGAGCCATTTTGGCAGCACAAGGGGGACCTTCGCAGTTTGAGAGAGGTGGTTTTACAGTAGTGGCTGGGCGGTGTACATCAGAGTTTATGCAAGTTAATGCAACGCCCTAAGATCTTGTGAAACCAGCTTCAAACCAAAGAAAGAAGAAAATGAGTATAAACAAAAAAGTCAAAATGACTAGTGAAGTCTCCAGTGAGTTGGATAACTGAACAGAAACATACAGTTGCTTCAGAAACTATATTCAGGGCCCTTCACTTTTTCAACAATTTGTCTTGTTGATCTAATTTTAATCAGCCCAATCTACATCCAATAATCCATAATACGAAATGAAAACATGTTTTAGACATTTCTACAAACCTATTAAAAATCAAAAAGCCGAGGTTCCAGCAGATTGGATGGGAAGTGTCTGTAAACTGCCATGTTCAGATTGCCACAGATGTTTTATGGGGTCTGGCTGGGTCACTCAGGGACTGAAGCCTCTCCAGTGTTATCTTGGCTGTATGCTTCAGGTCACTGTCTTGCTATAAGGTGAACCATCACCTCATGTCTCTGCAGCGGAAGCAGGTTTTCTTCAAGGACCTCTTTGTATTTGGAAATTTGCTGCTGTTTTAAACATTCAAATGCCAAAACTGAAAACCAATTATTGCACCTACCCAACAAATAAATACTGTATGTGAATAGTCAAATTATCAAATCCAGCCCTATACCAAATGCCTTCCATTTCACAGTTATTGAGGCCACTGTGCCCCTGAGGACACTCAGAGCTTTAGAAATGGTTTTATACCTCTGTCCTGATCTCTGCCTCGCCCCAGTTTTATCACAGAAGTCTACAGAGGGTTCCTAGGAATTCATGGCTTGGTTTATGTCCTGCCATACAGAGTGAATTATGGGAGCTTGTAAACTATGTCCAGCCAGTTCAGTTTGCTACAAGTGAGCGAGTCAGATTCCAGACACATTTCAGGAAAAATTAAAGCAAACAGGGTGGAACACTCACAGCTTGGAGTGCCACAGCAACAGCGCTGAATACTTTTGTAAATAACAGACAGAATTACTAACAAAAAACATTTTCATTTTGTGATTATGGATTATTGATTGTAGATTGGCATATCCATTTAAAATGATGTCTACAGCACATTAGGGTGTGCAAAAAGCGAAAGGGTCTAAATAGTTCCCGAAATCACTGTAAATGCCAACAGAATAATCTAATTTGAGATCTGCACTTAAGTATGTATTTCAGCATTTTTCTTTTGCTACCAACATCCATTCATCTGCGTTTCCCGGCTTGTTGTGGGAGTTACGTATAAACAAACATGTAGGGAGGCTAGAATTCTTCTCAGTCATGGCAGAGGCACAGCTTAATGAATGCTAAATTTTTGGATAAAAGGCAATGAGAAAAAGAACTGTGCCAGGCAGTTTTACTGTTTTTGTTTTTTCATGAAACCTTCATTTCTAAGGCTTCATGTGCTATGGTACCTGTGCCCTAAATATAAAAAACCCTATTTGAGTAGCTGGATAACAGGGTTTTGGTGTGTGTTTGATTAACTCTGCATTAGTCGATCAATCCCAGAGAAGGCAACGACCAGATGTATCTACCATAGAGGGAACTGTGCAGACCAAATATTCTGTCACCTTCAGTTACCACTTTGTGTGTGACAGACAAAAATGGGCACACAAAGTAAAAAAGTGGGTACACGTGTTTGAGTGTATCTCTGTCCTGATTTACGCTGTAGATTGTGTTACAAGTTTATTAGTGGAAGAAACTGGGTTCTTTCCTCAGAGGACAGATATGAAACTGAGCCCAGTTTCACTGAGCCAGGTGCACCTAAAATGAAATGGCATTCATTTAAGGAACAAATCAAAGAAAATAGGCTGACAAGGAAAACTCAATATAGTACCTGGGTCTACTTTGATGCCAAGTGAAATTCACTTTTCTCAGGAGCTCACCTTAGTTTGCCATTTCCATTCATGTTTTTTTTCACTGTGCCAGGCAAAAAGAGCAAACCAGGACATGAAGGGGTGGCTGGGAGATTACAAGAGGTTTGCACCTTGAAATGCAACAATAAAAAGAAAGACAGTGAGAAGGTTCATTTCCCTTTCCTGTGGGGGTGGGAGTAAGTTATAGCTATTGTTGACTTGTCCGCAACTGTGCGTAGGTGTAGAGGTGTGTAGTGAAGGGGTTTATTGGTAAACGTAGGCCGCTGATGGCTGCAGATGGTCTGGTCTTTTCTGTACTTTGATTGTGTGGGCGCCCCCTAGTTAGAATGTTAACGTTGTACAAATATAAATGCAACAGCTACTGTATGCAACCATCTCCCATAGGTGCAGCGATGCAGAAGTCTAAATTAAACTTTAACTGTTTTCCTGCTGGCTGCCAGGACGCATGGCAGAGCTCCCTAATCACCTGAGCGCAGGGGTAAGGGTACATGTACCAGGAAAAGCACTTCAATGACCTCAGGCGGCTCAGGGGTCTATCCCACTCCCCTCCCATTTTGTGCTGTGATTTTACACATCTGCAAACCTTTTTTAAACTTTAAACTTGTTTTTGTCTAAGGAGCTTTTCTTTCTGCCCCTGCTGTCGCTCGAGGGATTTCACCATCTCTTGGGGTGCCCTGAGGTCTCTCTCTCTCTCTCTGGTGCCATCACATTCTTCTGGTCATTTGTTTCACCCAGGTTTTTTTTATATGCAATTAGCAAAATAGCTATTAGCAAATTTTTTTAAATAAGCAAAAAAAAAAAGACGCGTGGAAGGGTTCGGTTATACGACAAGAGATCGTGTTGAATACAGCTGAACAAAAGTTGTCCCTGCTCCTGTCTGCAGCCTGACGGCAGGATCCATCAGGGTACATCACTGATGCTCCTACCAACCACTACATGCACGGCGTACTGTTCACAGAAAAGATGCCTCATGCAAAATTACTGTTATGATAAATAAAAAAGGCATACAATTCAAAACAAGATCCTCACAGTTACAAAAACACAAAATGGCTACGCAGTGGTTGTGGGCGCAATGGTAAAATAACTTTAGGAAATTTATTAAGGTGGTTTTATCTTTTAAAGCTGCATTAATCAGGTCTGACATGTTAATGCAATATGAAGTTGATATGGCCAACCTGCTGGCTTACACATTCAGTCCTCACAAAGCAACAGTAGCATTCCTTTGTGGAGTGTTTCTGGCACCCTGACTATGCAAAGCCAAAATTCACTCTCTTTTTATCCCTCTATGGTGTCTAGCAATTACTGAGAAAAGTAAGTGGGACTTTCTAGATGTTTCATGCTCTTTGCTAGGCAGCTAACTTTATCCATCTGTCACTGATTGGCCAGTGTTGGACAGAGAGTGTACAGCAGGTTTTTCTGAGCTTTTGTAGCAGGAAACAGCTTGTACCTCATTGAGAAAACCAGTTGAGATGGAACCAAAACAGTAAATCTGTGGGCCAAAACAACTAAAACTTAATGAAAACAATGCACAAAACAGGGGATACTCTGTGGGTTTGTCACTATGAGCAAATAGTTAGACAGCAGAGAGTGAAAAATAGAAATAAAATTTAATACAAAGTAAATTTAAAAGCAGCGACCCTCAGGACCACTAGTGCATGTGAGGATGTTGGATTCATCTTCCTGCTGTCATTTATAGTAAAGGTTGTTTTCAGTGAATAATACAGAAGGGGGAAAAAATCAGATATTAAATTGCAGTCACAATGTCCATCCATCCATCATCTATACTGCTTATTCCTGAATAGGGTCACTGGGGGGCTGGAGCCAATCCCAGCTGGCACTGGGTGAGAGGCGGGGTCCACCCTGGACAGGTCACCAGTCTATCACAGGGCTGACATGTAGACAAACATCCACACACACTCACTCCTACAGGCAATTTAGAGTCACCAGTCAACCCATGCTGCATGTCTTTGGACTGTGGGAGGAAGCCAGAGTGCAATCACAGTATGTCTCAAAAAAGTCTGATTAGTTTCACAAATCATTCAGCCCTAGTCCCTAGTACACACCAAACTCAATCCTACATTACTTTTTATGCAACTTCATTATGTCTTTAATTTGACCCCCAGAGCCCAGTAAGTGTCTCTGTCAACATCCTCATTTTCTCAGACTACACAAAGTTCAGTACAGAGGACATTAGACAAATGTTTTTGTGAGTGCTGTGGTAATTATCGTGACAAGCAAATTAACCTGTACTTGTACTGTATGTGCAAGACTGGTAGAGATACATGTTTAGAAAAAGATGAAGAGAAATGAAAAAGTACTTTGGAATGAAACACACAGGCCTGGAAGTGCCGCACTGCTGCTGTCAGGCTGTTACCTATGAGGGAGTTGAGGGAAGAATATGATGACACCCTTCGCATTTTGTCGATTGTCTCGAAGGAAAGGATGTACTCGTCATTGTCGGGGCTCCCCAGGGTGCTGCTGGCACTGCTGCTGGTGCTCAAGTTACCAGGAGAGAAGGCTGCTGGTCCACCTGAATGAAGGAGAAAACAGATACACACAAAAGCCTTAGATGCAATTAACAAAAATATCCTAAACATTACAAATGTAATATTGGTTGAAGCAGAAGAAGAAGCTCTTGTTTTGTTTATAAAGCACTTAAGCTGCTGTAAAAGTGCCATATAAACAAAGTTTATTATTGTTGTTCAACAGCCAAATTAATGTTCAATAAGGTGTGAGGTGTATAGGCAGGCGTTATACATGTCAACATGTTCATTTCATCTGTCAAGCTCAGTCACCTCCTGCTGTAGCTCTCCTCACCACCGAACATTATTCTGACTCATATAAAGCCAAACGCCATGCAATCTCCAAACTGACTGCAGGCTGAAGTGTGGAAATGGAGATTGGTGGAGAACGGAAATGTGCTCTGCTCTGAGTTTATTGATGATAAACACCGCTGCATATTGGAATAAGCACTGAAAATGTGAATTAGAAATGGTGTCAGAAGTAGGTGACGTGTTTCACCAAGTGCCAGTGATTTAGCTTGGCTCAGGGCTGATGCATTACTCAGTCTGGCAGTCGTAGACAGAGGGCAGGCCCTTAGCTTTAGCTGTCCAAACCACTGACAAATAACACAAACAGGAGGTTAAGATCTCAGTGTAGACAGTACATAATGTGATCCAAATGCTGTTGACATAGAGATTTGGGTGGTATGTTTATGGCCTCAATGAGATTATTTTGCTGAATTTACAGAATAATGCATCTATTTTTAGGAACAAATTATGCTGTACTGTAATATTACAGGATCTTGATGTATCAGTCAAAGATATTTTCCCCTTGACATCAGTTTGTCTAATACTAGCTATGTATGTATGCCAAATCAAAAAGTAGTCTCCAGAGAGAATGAGATTCTACATGTAGTGTTTCTGAAGTGAAAGCTGCTTGAATGAGGACCCGCCACAGTGACTCACTGGGTCCTCACTCACTGACTGTTGCATTATGTGAAGTGATACTCTATACTGAAGTGCTGGGAAAGGGCCAAAGTCCAACACTGAACAGGAAGCATCATTTGTGAAGCCAACATCTTCAACGCTTATTATACAACTAAACCGTGCAGTTGTGACCATCAGTGCCCATCTGTGTCCTTACGCACACACATTAAGTGGAACACCACAACATAGATAACAATTTTCCTCTTATTTGTGCATTTGAGGGCTGAATATCAACACTCCACAAACTGAGCTATTATTACTGCTTGGCCTACTGGTCCAAACCTCTGCTGGTTGTGAAGCCTCTTATTAGCGCTTACTGAGTTGCTCTCAGGAACACCAATGATACAGTGAAGGGGTTAGCCTGAGGACTGTTATACCCACAGTCCACAGCTGATGTGGAGGAACAGAACCTAATGAAATGTGCAGTTTGTTTCTTCTTGGATTCATTACTTTTGCTCAGCTGACTTGGTCTTTTTTCAGTCCTAATACAGATTCCTCTTTTTTCTTCAGTTGCTTCAGAAAGCATTGGGACCCTTTTGCATTTTGCACACGTTACAGTTTTGTCAGTTTTAATGAATAAAAAAACACAAAAACTGACGTCTAATTTACAAAAGTACTGTATTCAGACACTTAATTTAGTACTTTGTAGAAGCCCCTTTGGCAGTAGTTACAGATCCCAGCTTAAACCGCATAGAACATCTGTGGAAAAATCTGAAAATAGCAGTACGCAGACGCACCCCATCCAATCTGACAGAGTTTGAGAAGATCTGCCAGAAAAAATGGGATAAAGTGCCAAAAAGCAGTTGCGCACAGCTTATAGAGACTAACCCAAGAAGACTAGAAGCTGGAACTACAGCAAAAGGAGCTTTTACAAAGTACTGAACTGAGGGTCTGAATACTTTTGTAAATGAGACATTTCAGTTTTTCATTCATCTGCCTTGACTCATTTCCCAGCATTCTTTTCTCTCTCCTACCCTCTTCATTGAGGTTGAGGTTCTGTAGACTCTTGTTCAGGTTGCGGGCTGTGGTTGCAGCTCGGATGTTGGTGTAGGAGTTTACCGATCGCAGGCGTGGGATGGCAGGGCTGTCCCTTACTGGAGTCAGGTTACCGGGTTCTGGACGTAAAAACAGGACATATATATCAGGTCAGAGCGTCTGCATAATCCAAAATCAATGAAAAAAAATGTCATTCTAATTATTGTAACATTTAAACGAGTAACACCCTGATCGGGACTGCTTCAATAGCCACACATTTTTGACCATCCACACTGACCTTCAATAAAACACAAAAAGAATGTAAAATCCTTAAAGAGCTCGTCATGCTTTTGCTTGTTTTCTGACTTATCTATGATGTTACAACGGTGAATTATCATCGTAGACGTGACCTAAAGCTAAAAAAAAAAAAATGAGGTGTGCGTATGTTCTATGCAGAAGCAACTCGGTTTATACACGTCTTGCGAGACCTTTTTCTAACAAAATAAAGTATTAAGTGATAGGTTAAGGTTTTCCTTGAATGCTCATACGTAATCTCCAGGCAGTTGCATGTTCATTTGAACTTACCTGACATCCACCAGTGCCATTTTAAAGGCGGAATTTTTTGCACATGATTTGGTGGATATATTTTCCTGCTTGCTGCTGCAGTTTGACCACAGGATGTGGAGAAAAATACAGGGCCTGAGGTTACTTCATGTCCAGGAATGTTCCTGTACAGGGACTCAATGTTTTACCCAACCGGGTCTAACCTACAAGCAGCTGGACAGTGAAGCCCCCGCAGCGGTGAATGATCAGCTCATCAATGCTGGATTCCCCCGGAGCACAGTACCTGTTTGTTTTGACTGGTTGAAGCCAGTGTGTCTGTTGCATGTGATGTGTTGCAGGTTAATGAGAGGATTAATGATCCATGACGTTATTGTCGGTGCTATGCTAGCCGTTGGAATTAATTTCACTACTTTAGGACTGTATGTGGTTGTGTGGTGGAAGACGTGGAGACCACTGGATGGATTTACCGACCTTTGAGCTACTTGAACGGGAGTGATGTTTCCACTACTCAGTGGGACTTAACAGTAAGTTTAAAAAAACACATTGCATGAGTGTTATTGCCTTGTTTCTGTAATGATGTAGAGAATTATTGTAAGGCTGGAGAAGTTACTATTTCTGCATTATGCCAGTTAAAATATGGGGTTTCTCAATTACCTGCTTTGTATAGAATATTACACATCTCTTTTAAACGGTACAGTACATATACCACTGTTTACCTATCTATGGAGGAGAAATTCAAATGAATTAATGCCGTTGCAGTTCGTTGTGCTGTCCACTAGTGACACAACACCGGCAGCAAGAGGTGTGCACATGCACAAACTGTCCTCTCATTTTTAGGAAGAGGCTTTCTGGTTTTATTATTCTGATATAAATATTTAGAGTTATGAGGGGTGCCCAAGATTAAATATTAAATGCCTGGAAATGAGAAAAATGAGTGTGCCATGGGCTCTTTAATGCAGAAAAACCATTTCACCAGGCGGGCCCCCGAGAACTGTGACTTTGGTCTAAAGTTCATTTCTCTGGCATGTATTCACACAGTCAAGACAGGGTCAAAGCAGTCTCCATTACTTTTCAATATGGTCATTGAGCCTCTTACTTTTTAATGTGTGACACAGCCATGCATTTGACAAGATAACTTCAGGGAATCCACTGTGTAAAAGTACTGTATATGTGTTAGAGCCCCTGTCTTCAGTTCCTTCCATTCACTAAACTGGATCCATTTGCGAAACTGTATAAACCAGGGATTCTCAAACTTAATATTCAAAGGTCCGAATCTGATTTCTATTCAAGGTCAAAGGTCCAGAATGACTGGTGATAAGCAAATGACTTTGATTAAACTTGTTTATACCTTACAACTCATCTACACTCACCAGCCACTTTATTAGGTACACATGTACAATTGTATGTTTATAAAGCTCAAAATATTTCAGTTTTTAGGAAAACTGTCATAAATGTATAAATTCAATTATATGTTTATTATAGAGATCATAGTTAAAGGTGGTGTTGTTCTGGACTGTATTATATTCAGAGGTGCTCCTAATATTTGGACCCTGTCCTATATGTAACCGGGGAGGACAAAAATATAGAGTCACCTCTGAATATAAGGTAGTCCAGTACAACACTACACGTGTACATTCAAGCTTAAGGTGGTGTGAGACAAAAAACCTTCAAGCCTAGTGGAAAAAAAGCCACAGCTTGACTGTCTGGGGCTTCAGTAGTAGCTCTCTCTTGCTGTGTCATAGATCTTACAAACAACTTGTTTGCTGATTCTTACGAGGATTTTAACTGTCAAAGTTTTGCTGTCCTCACATCTGTATTCTCAGTCTGTGCAAATCAAATACAAGGGCCTTGTGATGGACTGGGGCAAAAGGAACACATATTTCTCTGTCCACTCATCTCTGCAAATTCGGTTTTCTTGGCCAACTTTTCTTTTCACATTTGGATAGTGGCATCCTCGTTGCATTAGCGACATAATGTACACTGACAGAAGACGCCAAAGTCTCGCTTTCTCGTGCCAAAAGGACAGAACATGAACCAGACCAGAATCTGGACTTTTTTGAAGCCCCGGTATAAACTATAAATTTAATTTTGGGGAAAGGGAATCTCTGCCAACAGAGCTGTCCAAAAGATTCCATCACTGTGTCCTACAATTGTCCTTTATTTCTTTAGTATCTTCCACCTTATAAATTTGTATGTGTAGCCCAGCCACCAACCCTGTCATATCCCATGTAGTTAAAATCAGGTCACACTTTAGGAATTACTAACCGGCTAACAGCACAGTTTAAAACCAAACAATAACTTCCAAGTAGCTTTATGGTGATGTGTGTTGGAGTGATCTATGGTCAGAGAAGCACTGGGAAGGTGCTGTGAGTCCCAAGACTTCACTCTATTGTTATTTCCTCTCTAAGGAGGATATTCACTAAACCTGTCGCAAATTACCCCAAGGTGCAGAAAATATTGCACGTCCACAATTTTTCAATTCAGCAGTGTAGTTATCAAGACTAATGATGTAAATGAGCACAGCTACAGGTGTGCTAATTTGAATGCGCTTCAGCTGTTAAGGATATGCCTACTGCACATGGGTGGAATGAAAGTGACATTAAGGTTAAGTCAGAGTAAATACATTTTTTTTTTATATGTTTGAAACATATTTCAGAGTTGCAATCAGTCTTACGCCAGTCAACTTGTCCTTCACTGTTAAGTAGGCTAAGTGAAGCATGATCTGACATTAAAGCCTGTGCAAGTCTGACATTCTCCTATGGTGAGCAATGAGATTTACAAACACCCAATCCCTCCTCAGAAGTGTTCTTAACTCCAACAAGCTCTTAGGTGACTAACAGCTGCCATGCAGCGGCGTAAATCAAGCACCGAGGGTATTTGTATAAAATTCCATTCTCTCCTCTCTGATTTTTGTCTCCCTGAATAGGAATGCCTTATAATATACGTACTGTATATTGCATGAAATCAAACTCATAGATTCCTGTTGATGTCGCTTTGCTTCTGTTTCTCAGTTGCAAAACCCCAATGCAACTCCTTAGTAAATATGAACACAGACAATTCCACTGTTAAGGGAAACAAATCTTTGTAAATATCCCCTAAGATTCACTGGATAAGAGCTAAATGATAAAAACACAAAAGTGAACCATGCTTGAAAAAATCAGATTTGATTCAATTAAAAAGTGCACAGCTTGCAAATACAAGCTCTTTGTGCATGTCTACAGTACCTGCAGTGTTGGCTGGTGATGGCACTGTGTAGTTCTTCTCTTCTTCTATAAACTGGAGGGCAACAGTACAGAAGTTGCTTTCATACTGGACCACCAGGTGACTCAGTGCTACCACCAGCTCCTGTCAAAACACAGAGAAAAGTAATGAAAAACACGACAATCATTCAGTTGCTGTACTTTTTTCAAACCACTCAGGATTTTGCCAGGTACTAAGTCATAAAGGTGCTGCCCATTAATTGTTAATATCTTCTTGATGATCTTGCATTTATCAGTATGATGAAATTAAAGGATAAATCAAGGCAATATCAAAAGCTTTTTATTTTTAACCACATTACCTCCAGCACTATTTTGTCTCGGTGTATAAAATTCAAGCTGAAGTAAAATAAAATCGAATTCTCCTTTTTCAAAAAACCTTAGGACCTAGAATTTATGGCCCTAGTCGGTTTTACCCATAAGCTGTATTATCCTAATCCTTATCTCTTACTGTCTTTCCAAGCCAGATTCTCTCACCCATTTCCTTCTCGTATAAACCGGAGTTCTGTATTTTATTGTGTGACTGTGATGTTAGATGTTTGTAATCTTTTATCATGTATGCACCAGCATAAATGCTTCAACTAAATTGGGTTCACTACCCTGAGACATTGTACATTAAATTTTAGTCCACAAATTTTTTCTGTGTGCAATTTTAAAGGAATAGTTTGACATTTTCTAAAATAGCTAGGCAAAATATGCCTATGAACACCTCTAAAGTTGACTAATTCATACAATTTATCTCGTTTTGTTCAAGTGTACACAAAGAGAAATGTCAAACTGTGAAGTTGTGGCTTTGCGAGGAGTTCAGCTGCAGTGACCTTGCGGACCACAGGGCTGCCATCGTTGATGAGTTGGGCCAGCATCATGGCTACGTTGTGGTCGATGGTGGTGGAGTGGTCTGTCCTCTCAGCAGAGTTCCCCACAAACGTGCCCAGAGCAAAGACAGCTGCACACCTCACCTGCAGCAACACAAACACAATACTTTCAATGTACTTCCTCCTGGCTCAATAAACGTCAAACTAACAAACTTAAAGCACAAGGTTTAAATGTGAGCTCTGGCTTTTTAAACTGTCACAAGTCAGTGTTTGGCACTTTGCCTCAAAATCAAACTATTTGCTTCCCAGAATAATTCAAAAATGTTGGAATGTGATGAGGGGATTCACAGAGGCTCGTCTGGGTCACTTTGCTCTCAGATGCACAGAAGATAATCAGTGCTGTGTGCTCCAGTGAGCTGCTTCTTGTCACTAAAACTCATTATTTTCTCTGCCTGCTTCACTGGGTGTTTAATCCAAAGTTGCAATCACAAAGAAGGAATTTTTCATGAGGGACTGGATTCACAAAATGAAGCAAATTACAGCACAAGAATAAATATCTGGGTTTATTGCTTGTTGTTGCGACAGAAAACCTTTTGTTGCAGGCATCAGGATGCATCATCACAGCTACTTTTTAACCTTGAGATGCAGCTTCAACAATATTAAAGCATGCAGATGTTAATGTATATAATTTGTTTTGCTTCAGTTAGAATGACCAGCTGAAACATTTCATCTGAACATGTTGTAATGTTCTTTGTGAAACCTGGAACAAAAGGAAGTCATAAAACAGCCCATGGCTTGAATGCAAATTAGAAGATAGGAATGTAATACTGGAAAGTTTCTTCATCTGCCGTCTGCACTTAAACATTCATACATTCAGACTCAGGGTACTATGCCAACCTGCACACTCTCATACAGTGCAATACAACACAACAGCCATTCAGTTAATTCTATCTAATTATACTGTAGCATCTATACAAAGATGTGTTGGTGGTACTTCTTAAGCCACAGTTGGTGACTATGTTGTATTGCTGTGTTATACTGTATTATAACACAACTCAATACAAATCAGTGGGAATCTGAGTGTTTTGTGCTTGTAATGCACAACATCAAAATTATCATGACAATTAATCCACACGATTCTTGCATTAAAATGTTATACAGGTTTATTAATGCATTTTAGGATTTTCAGCAGCATAAAACCTGAATCAATGCTTACTGTATTGTACAGTAATTCAGGTGGCCCCCGTTTTCTGGTTCTGCCCTAAAGCTACAAAAAGAACAAGCAAATATTTCATTTACTCAGTATAATTATACCAGGCTGTGTACTTGCTATTTTCGGTTACTCTGGAAGTTCTGTAAAACTGCCATATGAGACCCAGCAGACTTTAATGTTCTCTATGCCTCCAGGTAAAATGGGTATTTTGAGATAATGCAAATCAACCGTTACTTCTTGATGCGGCTTAATGACATGGTTTCCTTTCTTTAGGAGATTAGATACTATTTATGTCACTCATACTGTAAATTTGTTGGAAAAAGAAGACAAGAAGTCACTCACCTGTAACCATGAAGTGCATGTGGATTTATGTGCCAGTCCTGAGTGTTGCTTACTGCACAGTAATGTTTATTTGAGCTGCCTTTAATAAATACTCACTGAACATCCTCAGACTTGAACATACAGACATTTCCAGCCTGTATGGACGTGACTGTCATGAGAGCTTTAGACACTGGAAATATACAGCAGCATATCTGGGCATGAACGGACGATTATCTGGGACTCTGACATTTTTGCTTTATGTCGTTGTACATCGGTGTATATACCAGGACGAGGGGCAGGAGGTTGGTGTTTCTGTATATATTTTTGTCTAGGAGTTCCAAATATAATAGAATTGAGCACCAGTGGTATTTGTAGTTTTAAAGTCTCCTCTAATTCATGTGTAACCTGTGGTGTTTTTTTTAATCAGCCGCTCATTTGCAAGACAAAGGGGCAACATGCTCCGAGGGTACCAGGGACACTGTAGTTATGCACACCCCTTAAAGGCATCTTTTTTAGGGGGGCATTGTCCCCAGTTTGACCCTCACCCACCAGGGCACCACTGAACATTAGAAACTTCCAATGGTACAGTAGTATCTGTTGCAGGGCTGTTGTATTGGTTTGTGTTTGACTGTACAGGTACAGTATTTGTGATGCTGCATCCATCTCTTGCTCTTTTGCAAACCATTGTTAACATTCACTGAAAAAGAAAACCTGTGGGAGAAATGCGGTCTTGCTACACTTAAATGAATTACATTAAAGGAAAAGGCTGGTTGTTTTCTATATTAACAGCATTTGCAACACTCCCCTTACAGAAACTAAAACCAGCAATGATTTTCCCCAACTCACTGCTAATGTCTGTCAGTCCTGGATTAGTTTATTCATCTGTGCCATAGACTTCCACTGACGTTCAAAAAAACAAATAAAAACAGATCAGTGAAACACACCACTGCATTTAGTGACATGTTTCCTCATTATGAAACACAAGACCCTGATATTTGTTAAGAATATCCAGAGAACTTGTGCCTGGGCCCTTGACTCCTGCTTATTCATACGCTCTACAAATTTATGGCCATTCGGAGCCTTTGGGGCAGCATTTAAAAAAAATATTAGGGTCTGGTGTTTTGTAATGAGGAAACATGCTGAACATTGCAGCCCTGTGTTTCCCTGATGTGTTTTTAATTGTTTTTATCATCACTGGAGGTCTATGGCACAGACGAACAAACTAATCCAGGGTTGACAGATTAAGAGACATTAATCATGAGCATAGGCAAATCATTGTTGTTTTAGTCTCTGTGTGGGGATTGCTGAAAATACTGTTAATATAGAAAATGACAGGCCTTGTCCTTCGGGCAGAAAATGCAAATGAAATATATCATCCCTAAAGTCTCACTGTGTTTAGAATCTCATTTTTAAGATCACTGGCCAATAGGTCAGGAGGGCAGCAGCATTAAACACATTATAGGCAAAATAAACAGGAAAAGTAAACTAACACTCTGAACAAAAGAACATTAACAATGTCCAAACCCAAATCCATCAACAAAGTGCCATAAAAAAAGATTTCAAAGTGTTACTTTACCACAGTACAGTCTTGGTTCTCTCCTCTCAAGCTTTTGCTTAAGCTTAATCAAACCCTCTGCTGAGCCACTGATCCTGCTCCTCTTTCACTTTCAGTCCCTGTTCAACTTCTCATCTTTCCTGACTCACCTCCACACAGCAACTGAGGCATCTCAATCTAACACCCAAGGAAAAACATAGTCATTTACTGTATTTGTAATTGTGCTATTTCTCTACAAACTAATGCAGTCAGTTATGATCACACCCGTGGTAAACAACACACACGCTGCACACACTCTGAAAAGTCCTAATGTATACTGCATGTGTGTGTGTAAAAGAAATTAACAACTTGGAAAAGCATCTGAAAAAGTCTAAGTGTGTGTGACAGATGTGTCTGCAGACCTCAGTGCCAACCCTACGGTCAAAGCAGCTGTCTGACCAAGGGAAGGAGAAAGCTACTACTGGAAACAGATGCTCCTTGTGTGTGAACGCATGCAAATATGTGTAGTGTGTGTGTGTGTGTGCGCGTGTGTGTGTGTGTGTGGGGGCACCAAGAGTTCAGGTGAACTTCAGGGCAAACTCTGCCTCACTGTCCCAATGGCCCACACGCAACCCGGTCAGATGTTGACCGCCCTGCTTTACAACAGTGGATCCACACTGCTGGAAGCCTGTGTGAGTCTGCTGAGTGTGTGTGTATACAAACAGGTTGGATCTGCCAAACGTGTGTGTAACAATGGATTCTTAAATATTTTTCTTAAGTTTTCAAAGTGCATTTTTGGTCTTTTTTCTTTTTTTTTTTAAATATGAGATTAGATTGTGTTTGGTGTTTAGTAAACGTGTGTGTGTGTGTGTGTGTGTGCTAGGCATAGTTTGGTCAGGACTTGCAGCTGTCAATACAGAATTTTATGACAAATATAAAATCTGCAGTTCTATTAAATATGCATCCTGACTGAATAAAGGTAATTTAATATCTGTTAATACCAGTTAACTCTGAATATTATATAAAAAATAAAGCTGAAATAAAAAAAGATGTATTCTTTCAAAATATTTTAGTTTCTGCAGAACCCAGCAATCTGGTTTTTAATGCCTCTATAGCTAATGTCACAGGTCAGAGTGCATTATTTAGCTGCACTCAAAGCCATCATTTTAGCTGAGATGCCCCTTGCTTTTAAGATTCTTCTAGGTCTTACACCTCCAGCAAACCAGGGAAATTCTGTGTATACTTTTAACAGATTCAAAAGGAATCAAACAAACCAGACACCTCAGACAGAGAAGCCTTCCCCAAGTGGAAACTCAGTTTCCCATGATGCCATAAAAGCACTATTCCCATGATAGTTTGACCCTCATAATATGAGCGCTTGGCCATGAATACCTACTGCTGGCATTTGGAATGATGCTGATATCTTTATTAGCTTCAAAGTTATTCAAGAGAAACAACAGACATGTCAGACACCCAGTACTCCTTTAAATTTAGATAATTTAAGAAGACATTAACAATGTTGGTTAATGAGCCATTAATCCTTCTGCTTCTTTTTGAAGTCAAGGCTCTGTCTCAGACCAATTAAAGAAAATAAAATACCATAAAGATATTCTCATTGTCTTTGTGTTCCTTCTCTAAAGACAAGACTAATTCTTAAGCTGAGAAAAAGCCATCTACTTTCCTCTTGAACAGACATTTCTCACGAGTGCAATCATAGTTGAAGAAAAAGACTGAATATCTGAGTAACAATTTTGCATGAAAAAAGTACAATAATCGAATACAAATGGTGCTTGATGAGATTATTCATCTTAGATAACCAAAAGATGACATAATTACTCATAAAACAACATATTACAGCTTCTTGATTTGCCCTTTTTGCAGTAAAGGATTTAAAATGATTAAATAATTATAAACTTCTTGTACATCCTCAAAAATACCAGAGCTCTTGTATTAACCTCTCACCTCGGGGATGGGATCCGATAGAAGGGTGTAGAGCTTCTCGTGGGCACTGTCCCGGACTCCACACCAGCGTGCCGGGTCAAAGTTCTGCCAGATGCGGCCCAGGCAAATGGCCACCCACTGGCGGAGCAGGGGGTGGGGGTCTGACAGCTGCTCCAGGCAGGTGGCTATTAGGTTGCCCTGTAAACAAGCCTCCTGGTGGGGCAGAGGAGGGTGAAGAGGAGTAAGGCAGAATAATGAGTGTGAGACATGTTCAGTTGTCTAAATATGCCCTTTGCACATGTAGATTAGAGGTATGTGGGTTTAAGATGATTTTAATGGCTGTGAGGTCTGAAGTAGTAACAGAGAAAAGGCCATTTGTGTTAGACAGTTTCTCTCAAGTTACCAACTATTAAAAACAAACTGTCCTGTTGTCTATGTGCAGTGTCTACTGGAGACTAGACCTGGACAGCGTTTTATATTTAATAAAAGCACAAAATCTACATCATGTATCAGGCTAATCCTCCAACACAGAGGTGCCAGACTGAAATCAGAAAGTCATTAGCCTGTTAATCACCACCACCCTGTAACCTCACACTGTGTAATGGACAAAAAAGATTATGAGCTCTGCAGCAGTATAACTTGTTCCTTTGAACCTCTTCAGCCCTATTCAAACCTTTTTTTCTGAACAAATCTAATTGGTCCATAAAGGTTTGAGACAGCAAAAACAAAGATGGAAAAGCTGGTATCCTTTTCAAAATCCTTTTAAAACTTTAATTTTCATTGATTTATTTTGTGCAGAGAACAAGTACTCTGACTGGTAAGGGCTTCCTGCTTTGTGCAAAGCATAATGTTCCAGTCCAACACGTACAAATCAAGGCCAGTATCTATGGCTCTTGGCAGAATGATCTGCCCTAAATTGGCACCTAATGTACGAACTTCTCCAGAGCAGGAAGCAGAGATGCAGACCAAAAACAAACCTGCGTTACAAAAGAGCTGTATGTACATTCAGCAGTCACTTTTTATCCTTTATTTCATTGCAGCATGATTTGAAAACGGAGCCTGTCACATGGTCTTCTGGTGAGGGGTTCAAATACTGCCCAGCACCAAGTGCTCTATGTTGCAAACTAGTAACGCCACACCAACACCATGATTGGTGTCGCTTCTCAGCAGACATCTGCGCTTTTCCATTTTCACTCACTTTCACTGTTAAGTTATTATCAGTAAATCTCAAAGCTTCTTGTGGATGTTTCACAGTAAATGCCATGCAGGAGCTGAGAGGACAATCTCCCTTATCTCTGGGTATCTTTTAATGGAAAACATCTGCAGGAAGTGCTTTATTGGTGTTTATTGATCAGCAAATGAGAACAGATGGGAATTAAGCAAAACAATGTTTTTTGTTTGGAAGGCAGAGCGGCAGAGTGGCGAGTGTAACTTTACTGTTATACTAATGTAATTACTGGAGAGGAAGTGTGCAAAGTTGTGAATTTATGAAGTCAACAGGTAAACACAGAGGATGTGTCACGTTTCTTTAAAAGTGAGTAGATCAAAAACAAGAAGATGTCTTACTAAAATATGACATAACATACTTGAAAAGTTGAAATAAATAAGAAAAAGATGACAATTTGGTGTCCTCTGTAATTGACCTAAATAAAGACATTTATGATTGTTGAAAGCTTACGGTAAATATATAATTTTTGTGTGACAATAACAAAACAGTCATGTGCCTCAATACACTGATGATCTTGCCTCAGACGTTTCATGTAAACATACAGTGAAAGCCTTTAAGGCAACACCCACTCAATCACAACAAATGCACGTTTATTGTGCTGAGAATCCTCATTTGTCTCTTGCAGATTGAGGCATCATAACAACAAATCCTTTATCAGCACCGGCACAATGTTCCAATAGTTTCCTTTTGTGCCTCAGACCACTCTTAAGTTGCTCCCTCAGCTCTGATCCCAGCTGAACCCCAAGTGCCAAGATATAAAGACGCAAGTGCTCTGTGACATGTTCCCAACAGCAGTACTGCAGCAGTGGGTGCTGCAGTTGAAGGTAAGAGGGATAAATAATGGAGATGTGGAGCAGGCAGTAGTCTCTCTGTAATTGTTGGGGATCATCTATTATTTACAGGCCTGTGAGAGAGGTACAAGCATTAAAGACACGGTGCTATGGAGGAGCCTGAGAGCACATGTAGCTTTTAGGATTTCTTAAATTTATATAATGTTAAGAGAGAAGAGTACTGTACGGTAGTGAAGAAAAAAATGAATGAGTTAAATAACATTCACAATCAGAGAGAAACTAAAGTGCACGGAGCATAAGACGGGATGCTACAGGGAGTGATGGTGAAATACAGTGCCTTGCGAAAGTATTCGGCCCCCTTGAACTTTGCGACCTTTTGCCACATTTCAGGCTTCAAACATAAAGATATAAAACTGTAATTTTTTGGGAAGAATCAACAACAAGTGGGACACAATCATGAAGTGGAACGAAATTTATTGGATATTTCAAACGTTTTTAACAAATAAAAAACTGAAAAATTGGGCGTGCAAAATTATTCAACCCCCTTAAGTTAATACGTTGTAGCGCCACCTTTTGCTGCGATTACAGCTATAAGTCGCTTGGGGTATGTCTCTATCAGTTTTGCACATCGAGAGACTGAAATTTTTGCCCATGCCTCCTTGCAAAACAGCTCGAGCTCAGTGAGGTTGGATGGAGAGCATTTGTGAACAGCAGTTTTCAGTTCTTTCCACAGATTCACGATTGGATTCAGGTCTGGACTTTGACTTGGCCATTCTAACACGAACTATTTTGTTGTATTTGCTGTATTTTGTTTTGTTGTATTTTGCTGTATTTTGTTGTGTGTGTGTACTCTGTGAAATGACGAGCTACATCACCCCAACACTGCACACTTGGTCATGCGGCCAACATCAGACACAAGAGGCCTCTGGGACTGAACTGGAGACCCGCGTGACACTTGAAGGACACTTGCAGTGATAAAATGTCACCATGGAAGTGGCTGGCTTGGACACAGACTGTAGAGGGGAGTGCTGATGACAAAACTGTCACATAACCAATATCTCCTGGAAATGCACAACGAGCGAAAAGAGTGACAGCTGGGCTCGAGAGAACCTACTGTGGTTCCGGTGAGGGAAGTAAATGAATAGTTTGGTACGTTCTCCTCTTTGGAGCGAGCAAACCAACAGCAGTGGTTGGAAAAAGACACACATATCAAAACACGCTTATACACACACTCGTACCTGTCCTATGTTGTAGCTGTTGACAATAACAGCTAATATGAAGACAGCCATTGTTCGATGCTCAGCCTGAAACAGAGAAACACTGAGATCTTATTTTATGTCACCATATCTACTTTGACCCAGCAAGGTGATATGTTGATGAGCCCTGACTGAACCCTTAGGTTATGCTTATGAACGCCCTATAACAAATGTATTGATGTGATCAGTCACTACTCACTGGCATGTAATTGTCTGCCAACACCGACAAGAAATACTTGTGCCCGTTGTCTTTCACCAGGTCAGCTTGACATGACTGCAGACACATGGAGAGAGTGTTTCATTGCAGATGGTGCTTAAAGTTACAGTAAGCTACATTTTTCAAATATTTTTATTATAGAAATCTGCTCTAAAACTTGTCTTAATGTGGAGAGGTGCTGTAGATGCCTCCTGTGATCCAGAGTCATTGAACAGCATTGGCAGCAGTGCAGAGTTATTAGCTAGGTTTTGAGCAGGATTGAATTTTCTAACCAATCAAAGAGATTTTCAGTTATTTCTCCCAGATCAGTAAGTTTTGTTGCATTCTCATTTATTGTAATTTCAAAACACATATCTGAGGAGTTGGGCAGAGCGTGGTGAGGCATAGTGGAGCAGGGAGAGGGAGTGCTGGGCAGAGCAGAGCGGATTGACTGGTTTCATGTTAGTGCTGCCTTAACTTACGTTACATACTGTGGCATTAAACTCACTTTCCACTCACACAGGATTCACATAAATCCCATCATTGTAAGTATTTGTCCATCTCTCCCATGGCAGTGTCTCCAGTCCATGAATAAAAACTGCTGGTTGCTAAATGTTACTGAAAAGCATGTAGGATAACAAATTGAGTATAGTGTATGATTGAGTCATTTGACTTATTCTAAAAAACGTGATGACATGATTCACAAGGTCTTAGGAAGGTTACCAATGAAGCACTTAACTGTATTTTAACTGTTATTCATGTTTTGGCCTGTTTCCATGCTAAACAGAACTGGCAGGTAATGGGTCTAGATCAGTATCACGGATTAAAACATTTACAAAAACCTGTGTGGGAGTATGACGTTCTTTTTATTTGAAAAAGATCAAGGTAAACGGAGTCATAACATAATACTGACAGTTCTTCTCAAACATGAAGGAACATTTAATTATTGCACAGATAAAACTAAACTTTGCCAATTTCAGATGTCGACTCAAACCAACCCTAAGAATCAAAATGTAAATGTACATTTATAAGTTTCCCAGTCGCTTTATTGAAAGCATCCAGAGACAAACACATACCGTATATACTGTACTGTATGCTTGACCACAATGATCAGTGCAAAACAAAAACCAAAAAAAAAAAAGGCTTCTGACATAAGTCTGCATGCATTAATGTTTAATATACCATCAAACTCTTTTTTGTTTTAAATTTCTAATCACTTAAGTCACACTTCCCGTGACAGCCATTAAGAGTGGGACAGAATTCATTTAACAGTAAAGCTGTGATGTAAAAATGCTCATCAATGCTTCAAAACAATAAGGATTTAGAAGAGATGAGGCAGAAATGTCTAATATATGTTAAGTGTTTTACATAACTTACACTGTCCACAGCCAAGATTTTAGCCCAGATGAAAACCAGAAGCGGTCGCAGCTCTCTGGCTGAGCTCTGGAGCAGCTTTAATACATAGGGGAAGATTCCGACAGACAGGGCCTGGAAACACACACAACACGGGTGTTTACACAGCACTATTGATATTGCTGTTATGGGTCAGGCCTTGCTGCTGAATGTGACTGACAAGTCTGACCGCCAAGACAGAGTACACCAGTAGTCTGAGATGTAAACATGTACACAAGGATCAAAATTCAGTGGAGCAGGAGATATGTTAGTGAGAATACAGCCCAACTTCTGACTTCACTACAGCTGTCTGTTGTTTCTGCTTCATCTACAAGATGCCTTTTTTAGGTTTACTGTACAGTATCCCACTAACCTGCACTGTGACATTATAAGGCAGTCAAGGCTGGAACTGTCTAATAAATATTATTAGTATTATACTGTCTTTCCAGTATTAACGAAAAGTTTTATGTCAAGCTGCCACTTTGCTGTCGATTTACAAAGCAACTTAAATTTCTGTTCAGCTGAGGTAGAGCTAGCAAGTGGCAGCTAGCTAGAGTAAACACTCCAAAGTATACAGCATTTCTTTTTGGAGTCGTATCAATTAAAAGCATTTTATGACATATTTATTTGCAAGTTCTTTAAGATTTAAATGAGAAAAGTGATACCATTCTCATGTTAGCGCACTAAGTATAGAGATGGAACAAGAAAATGATTAGCTTAGGTAAGCTTAGCACAAAGTCTTGAGCTAGAGGGAAATCTCTAGCCTGGCTCGCTCCAAAATAAACATCTGGAAACACAGCCGAAGCTAAGCTAATTAATACGCTGTTTGTTTAAATGCTAAAATATATTAATGTGAGTTGTAAAGGTGCTGGTAGAAGGGTGTACTTCTAACCTTTGGAGAGTCAGGGGAGCTGATTTCTGATTCACGTCTTTTTGAAGCTACCTGTGTCCAGACTGCAGACTCCTATCACCCTACCAGTTCAACATTCAGAAAAAAGTAAATTGGTGTACATGTAATCCAGCTATATTAGGCCATGTTTTGTACTAACAACTATTTTGTTAGTGTGTGAGGTTATTCTAATAAGAATAGCTCTTTTTGAACCGAAACCCATCATTGTCAAGCAGGTGAAGTAAATGTAGAGCTGAACACACCAGACTGACAGCCCAGGGTCCCAGATCCAGAAACCGCCCAAGCAGGTCGAGCGCTCGTAGCCGGTGCACCTGACTCAGGAGAACCTGAAAGAGAACAGAGGTCAGAGGTCAACTGTGCTACCTCAAACCAACAGGAAGTCAGAGATTACAGGAGGAGGAAGGACAGCAGGAGGAGCAGTAGAGCGGGTGAGGAGGTGGAGTGAAACAGGTGGCTCTCCCACCACTGCTGCTAACAAACTGGCACCAGGTTGCACTTGTTTACTGACACACAGTAGCACGTGTGTATGTATGCAAATGTGTGGGCATCTGTGTGGGCGCCTGGGTGCGTCCTCTTGGCTGCCATTTCACTTGGCTTCTTAAGTAGATATCCGTTTAGAACAATACCCAAGTGTGTGCACATGCATTTTGGTTTGCGTGTATTTTTAGACAGTATAAAACAGATTCCAAATGGGATCACGATGTTGCAGTTTTGGCCAGGGAGAACTATTTTAAGGATGTGTACATGTTAAAAATGTATATGTGCAGTTTATGTTGTAATTAAGCACAGTACAGGAGAAAACCAGTGTGAGAGCTGGTCACTGCTGCATCCCCATGTGACTGTCCCACAGTGTGTGTGGGAACAAACATATGGAGGAACCCGGGGCCACACACAAACACGAACATTTCCACCAACACATAATGTATTCTTAGCATCCTCCGTGACTGTAATCTGATGAGCGTGACCACAGAGACAGGAGGAGGCCGGGGGAAGACCAGAGTTACCTTCAGCTCCAAGGAAGAGCGAGTGAACACGGATGTGTGTGTGTGAGAGAGAGAGACGTGGGTGTGTGCTCTATAGGAATTTAAAAAGAAAAAGCCAAGGAGAACAACACATTTTAAACTTCTCCTGGTCCAAGCTTTAAAAAAACCTTTTTTTCCTTGTCATAATTCATCTTTTCAAACTGATTTGGCACAGATGTCAGTGATGTCATGCAAACAAACACATTTTATGTGAGTAAGCATTCCCTGTTATTATGCTTTATGTACGAGCTGCGAGAGACAGCACACACACCATCATCTTCCTATATGATGCACATGCATGTCTTAATCACTTCACACCTAAATCCAAAATTGTGTAAATGTGAATATGTTGCTGTTACAGTAACATCACAGCTTAGAGATGCTGTAATCCTTTTGCAAAATCTGTTAATCCTTCCTGGATGAAATGGCTGTACCTCTCCTTCCTGAGCCCTTTTCCCCTCCCTTTGCTCATTCCATTAAAGATCATTATAGATGGATTACTCTCTGCTGCCCGCTTCTTGTCACTCTTTGCATCTTTCAGATTGAGCCAGATTAGATTTTACCACCAAATCATCTTTTCGCTTCATTCTTATGCAGCTATGTATGTGGGTATAAAGGGTATAAAACCTGTTTATCTGATGCATAATTGTTACATCAGACAGCACCAGTAGCCTTGAGGTTACTATGCCCTCATAATGTAAAGATGAATAATGTGTAATCTCAAAGGCCACTGCTGCTTTACTCTCCCCTCACTCTTGTGTCCACAGCAACAGCAAGCACACACACTCACAGGCTTGCACACACCACCCAGCTCCACAGTCAGTCTGCCTTTTCTTCAGCTTTTAACAGGCCCTGACAGAACCGCTGTATGGACGGACTGTGGCTCACAGTGTGCTGAGTCAACAGGAAATTACCACTGAACACGGACAGCGGCACACCGCTACTACGGTGTGATATTATACAACACCACAGCTGTACGGGAGGAGCCCAAGAGAAAGGAAAGGAGAAACAGCCAACTACTGTAACTCAACAGCTGATGAAGGCTACAAGGTTTGGCAAGATTTCACTCCAATTAAGGCATCCCAGCACATATTTAACACCACTAAAGGGAACACAGTGGGTGCTGTTCTTGTCACAGCCTTTGTGCAAAGAAGAAAACTGGCCTGTAAATGCTGACTTTAATTTGTAGAAAATATTTTGCAACGCATATCACGCTTTTCTGCTGGCAGATCCAAAGTGGTGCACATATGGAAAAGGTGCCCACACACTGACAAAACAACAGATGCCAAAAAGTACAATTATTGCGGTAAAACTGTTATTTACATTTTTCATTGTATCGCTTTTAACACGTGTAACAAACTTACTTTTTTGGCACCTGCACAGCCTCTTTGCTGTTTTGTCAGCATGAAGGCACTTTTTCCTTATGTGGGACATGCTGCTGTCGGCTACGTGCATCCGACATCATCTTTTGAAAGGCCTGAAATTAGGAGTGTGAGCCCAGCAACAATTTTAGATCTCAAGTGGCAACCTGAACGAAAAAGTCTTATAAAGGATGAGAATGAAGATTAATAAAGGGAGGGAGAAGCGGCGAGAGCTAATGGTGCGGAAAGTATTGCTGTAGTGGTCATATTCTATGCTAATGGTTGACTCCTAGCAGGTGATGTGTGTGTTTAATAAAGACAGCCTTGCAAACACAGAGTTTGCTTCAACATAATGAAAATAAACCCCTTTTTCATGCCATCTGCAGCATGCTGGCTTCATTTACTCTGTCTGTTACAGTAATGCTATTTCATTGCTTCATTCAAACACACGTCTCAGTTACACAAATGTTCCTTGGTTCAAACAGTTCTTCCATTCAAACAGCTGCAATGCTTATAGGATATCTGGCACCTGCTGAAAACATGAGCAAATGAGAGAACAGAAAGGACAAACAACCTGCCTGCATGATGTATCAACACATTACACTTTCAATTTTATGTCAGGTTTTCTTCAACACCATCTACTGTACTTTATCTTAGAGTTTATTTTAGTTATTTTGATTTTACTGTGGCATCAGAACTGGCTACTGCTAAACATGTTTCATAGTACACACTGAAGTATAATTAGAGTGATTTACATTTTAAAAATTACAGAATGAAAAGAAAGAAATTTTGGAAAAGCTTTGAAAAAGATTTTCAGGCCTTCTGGACCTATCTGACTGACACTGCCTTAGTTTTTACTGGCAAAGACAGTGTCTTCTTATAGTGACCAGGTTTAATTCAAATCCCCATTGGTTTTTTCTTTATCCACACATTCCATTAATTGGCTTTTGAATAGAAATATATTTACAACTCGTTCCAACAATGCCAAAATGTCAGCTCCAA